GGCGGTGTATAGTTTCATGTTCTAGCGAAAGATTCATTCTCATATGGCTGTACCAACGGAGACAAAAAACGGCTTGAAAAAAAAAAGGAAAAGAAAGAAAAAAAATGAAACRACAACTCTACTATCCGACGGCTTCCCTTTGCAGATATTCCCCATCATCTGCGGTCCTCTTCCCTCTGCCCATGTGCCCGCCCTCACGAGATCGCTTCTGGAAAGTTAACAGTTCGCTAAAAAAACCTTAGGGCCGCTCCCTCGCCGCGGATCCTTCCGATCCAATGCCCCTTGTTCATTTGAAAGTTTTCCCACGGCGCGCAGCTTGCCAACCTCCTCCCCCCGTGGCTGATACGCGTTAAGGGGTAGGATGTCTTGGCTGTCGTGGCTAGAAACTTGGGCTCTTGTGGCCGAGGGTGCCGGTTTTTTATTCCGTTATGTGCACGGATGGGTCTGACGCCTGAGAGAGTACTGACTGACGCTTCCTTGTTCTGTGGATGCATCTTAATTTTTGTTGTTGTTGTTTTCTGTTTTATTTTCTTATTTTCTTTTTTTTTTGTAGGGGAGGGGTATGGGTGGTTGGGTGGTGGTAATGGTGACCCTATGACACAGGCTTGTGTTGTATTCAGTGCTAGCATCCCACTGGCCGGCATTCGCCCCATTTATCCAAAATATGCACACTACCTTCAAATCAGCAACTCTGGAAAGCCGCCTTCGTTCCAATGCCAAGGTGAGGCTTGACTCTGCTCTTGTGGTCTGTTGGAAGGGGGAAGAGGAAAGGGGGGGGGGGGGGGGGGGGGGAGAAGAAGGTATCCGTGACCAGTGATTAACGAAAGGAAAGGGAAGAGATTTTAATCACTTTATAAGATAAAAATTCATAAAATAAAGTAAAGTAAACAACCCACATGGGCAGTTTTCTTTTCCTTTTGAGTGGCAGGTTGGGCAGACTGAGGCCCGAAAATTGTGGTTGTAAACAAATGAGTTGAAAGCTAGGCTACCAGAGTGGCCCGGGACCACTTGGGCGGCCGCGCCAAAACGAAAAAAAAAAAAAAAAAAGTAAAAAATATTTATTTTAATTTATTTTTAATTTTACATTTGGTAAATAATTTCGATGTGACCCTGAGCTGCTACGGGGTTCCCCGTATGCCTACAATTAGGAGTAGAGGTAGGTAGGTAGGTAGTGTGAGGTGAAATTGAGAGAAGAATATAGCTTAAAAAAAAAAAAAAAAAGTTGTTCAGTTTATTTTTCTGCATAACATAGTTTGTTTTCATTTTATATTTTTTTATATTTTTTTGCTTGGACCTTCCCTGGTCCTTGCACGTCCGGGCCGCCCGGGAAAACAGGGTGACCGGCCGGCCCGGCTAGTAGCCTAGGTTGGAAGACCGTGGTTGGGAAAGGTACTGGTGGTTCAAATCATTGAGGATTAGCTACCAATTGAAATGGCACACAACTGGACTGTTCTTTATTTAGACCTGCTTCTCCTCCTCCCCCTTGCTACTCGGCATTAATAACACGTGCAAAAATGAGAATGAATCTTCAGCTAGAACATGGAAAGATACACCGCCATATTTTTTGTCATTTCTGCATGTACTGAGTAAGTGGAGCAAGCCACATCTCCTTCCCCTTGTTCCTTACCGCTGTCTGTCACCTTCTGCATGTCGTTTTTTCCTTTTCTCCCTGCTGTGTACTTTTTTTTTTTTTTTTTTTTTTTTTTTTTTTTTTTTTTTTTTGGCGACTATCATCAGCATCTTAATAATCACACGAGCCCACCGCGGCTCCGCGCGCGGTGGATGCCAAAGCTGCTCCTGCTTCCCCTTGCTCCTTGGCGCTGTCTGTCATGTCCTCTCAGTTGTGCTCCCGCATTTGCGACCCCTTTGGCCATCTCCCCCTGCTGTGCTGTGTGCTCCTCCTACATATCCTGCTGCAGGGCGGACCATACGTTGTGGATCGGATGGCACTAACAGGCACACTCCCACCGCGAAAATAGGAGGGAGGGGGGGGGGAGCAGCACAACACATGCCCCAAACCTCACCGACAAACCTGAAAAAAGAAACAAAAAACCTGGCGTGGCTCAGTCAGTGCACCCCTGAAGAGGATGTATGGGTGAGCAGGACACAGCAGGGGCCCTAGACTTTGTGCATCGCTCCACTAAAAGGGACCTTGCTCCACTACTCATCACAGACAAACATGGCGGTGCATCTTTCCATGTTCTAGCAGAAGATTCATTCTCATTTTGCACATGCGGTGAGCAGTGCGCTAAGGCCATAGTCGGGTCTCGGGGGGAAGGGAGAAGCAGGAACGAAACAGGTGCAAAATGAGAATGAATCTTTCGATAGAACATGGAAAGGTACAGCGCCTCTTTTTTTTGTGTTTTATGTATGTAGTATGTACCAAGTAGACCATGTAAATGGGTAGAACACAGGTGGTGTAACGGGAAAAAAAAATGTGCAAAATGAGAACGAATCTTTCACTGGAACATGGAAATATACACGGCCATGTATTTTGTTTTTTGTGCACGCACTGAGTAAAAGAAAACGCATTGCCGATGGGGGAAATCGGCGGCGCTAGCGCCGAGCAATGGCCAGTCACTGCACCTCCCCCTACCCCCCACCAGCCCCATATGGCGGTGTCTAATGGCCAATATTGTCGCTGCATAGCAACCAACAACATCAGCCAAAGTCCTGCCAATGCTGGCTTGGGTGGCCAACAGGTTATCTCTAGCTGGTAGAACACCAAGCTTGCCCAGGCACGTATGTGACGCCAATGGGGATTGACTGGTACATCCTTGCTCTTGCACCACCGCTGTGGTGCCAACCTACCCCGTGGGCGAGGGAGAGATCCGGGTTGGTTGGTCTTCCCCCGTACTATACATAGACTAGCGAGAGGATGAGAAGAAGATGAGATAGAACATAGATGAGAGAAGAATATAGCTTACTTTTATGATTTTTTTTCCTAAAAAGTGAAAGAAAAAAAAAAACAGACACACGGAGGAAAAGGAAACGACACGTGAAGAATGAGAAAATGAATCTTCCGCCAGAACATGGAAAAATACACCGCCACTATTGGGGCTAGGCCCTGTCCTCCCGTATGTCTGCTCGCCCAAAAGACTTGTGCTATGTACTTGTGTATTCCAACATTTGCGCAGCGCCCACCGGCCACCATACTACAAAAAAACAAACAAAAGGAAAACCACTGGTGGTTCAAATCATTGAGGATTAGCTACCAGTTGAAATAGCACACAACTGGAAGGTTCTTTATTTAAATACATGTTGTTGTTGTTGGTGGTGGTGGTGGTCGTCGTCGTCGTCGTTGTCGTTGTCGTTGTCGTCGTTGTCGTTGTCGTTGTCGTTGTCATTGTCGTTGTCGTTGTCGTTGTTGCTGTCGTTGTCGTTGTTGTTGTCGTTGTTGTTGTTGTCGTCGTTGTTGTTGTCGTTGTTCTTGTTGTCGTTGTTGTTGTTGTTGCGTTCAAGTGGAGTGCTCGTGTAGTATTAGTAGTATTGATGACGCCCCTTTTCGTGTTGTCTTTATGAAAGGGGGTAGGCTCCAGTAACCCCTAACAGTAGTGTATTCATCTGACACAATCAGGGCTCAAACTTATCTACGCCAGCCCATGTGGCTGAATGCTACACACATGAACACGAGCTCGAACCTGTTGGAACCAGATGAACACAGTAAAGTTTGGGGCTTCCCCGTTTCCTTTTCTTTCTTTTCTGTAAAAAGAGGGCTCAAAGTTCCTCAAACTCGTCAGCTGTTAGTAACAGCTACACATCTGTACCTTTCAGCCACATGGCTGGGCATTCAATGCATCCTTTCCTTGGTCTTCTCGTAATACGAATTATCCCTGATTTTACGCATTGGTATGATTGCCAAATACGTCATTATCATTATCATCATCACTGTTATTTGTCGATTCATCGTTGATGTCATCTCTGGTCGCTTAATGACAAATGTGAAGCAGCGTGGACAACATTCAAGGGGAAAAACTTCCGAAAAAGGTTCAAAAAGTACAAGAAGTTGAGTTTTATTTTTTTAAGTTGACATTTTGCTGCCTTTGGTGTTTATTGTTTCCAACTTTCCAGGTTGTCGTTGGAATAATCAACCACATGAAACTTCCCTACGCAATAACTGAAGAGGAGATTGTCTTCCCCAGATCCAGGGAGATGCTGCTTTTTATTCTCTTCCTCTTCCAAACTTTGCCTCAGGTTCATCCTCTTCCCCGGTCTCACCTGAGAAATAAGAAATAAAATAGACACAAGCTAAAACCGTACATCAAAACCAGTTCTGGCATCTCTCTCTCTCTCTCTCTCTCTCTCTCTCTCTCTCTCTCTCTCTCTCTCTCTCTCTCTCTCTCTCTCTAATGTAGTCTTTTGGGCATGGTGAAGGACCAAGGGATCACCAAGGTGCGGAGAAACAGCCATGCAAAGCAGCTTGAAGAGTGAAAACAGCAATCTCACTTATCAGACTAATGACTCAGCACACACATATACATCAACATCATCAAACATGGCAGGATGCAAGGAGGGGGTACATGGAAGAAAGATCCCTCCTTGCTAGCACACACATGGGAAGAAGAATCAAAGATATGGAGGTGGGGGGACGAGGTGAACGTGGGCTACGAGGAAAGAAAAAGAGTGTAACTGGATGTATTTATAGAGTAATCATGGCCTCTCGTCATCAGCCCAGAGTCAAATCCGAGCCTGGGTGCAATTGGCCCCAAAATAATAACCAGGTCTCTGATCTCTCCCTCTGATAGAAGTAGGACGAGAGGAGGTGGATATGGTGGATATCGAGAGAAAAAGAAGAAGAACTCTCTCTCTCTCTCTCTCTCTCTCTCTCTCTCTCTCTCTCTCTCTCTCTCTCTCT